AGGACTATTAATCTCAATGGCAAGACAAACATATTATATATAAGCTCTATTTAGCTGCTATTTATATGAGTTTTCACATTTTCAAATACCATAATTGTTTTAGTTGGACTTTAAAAGTTCATCTTTTTTTTTTGAAAAAAAAAAGGTAGGCTGCTGTGACCGACCATCATTTTTCTTTGATCATTTTGGTCATCATTATCTTATAAGAAAGAATTTATGTTTATTAAATTTTGCGGATATAATTACAAAAAGACTAAAAAATGTGCATGTGAAATTTCAAAAAGTGAAAAGCTACATCACCAAGTTTTATACTGGAAAAAATGTGGATGCGAAATTAGCCTATGCGAAGAAATGGGATAAGGGTAATTTTTCTTTTTCTTAAAAAGAAGAGTTATTTTGTCATTTTATTAGATGTTTATAATATTTTATTAATTACGTCACAATATAAATTTTAAAATTTGAATCACAAGAATTCTAAATGATGATAATAGTGTTTCAGAAAAACTTGAATGCATCGTGCTTATATGAGAAAGCATGTGGTATGGTGTAATTATAAAAATATTGAAATAATATCATTACCATCACAAAAAATGATGATAATATAGTCGACAGCAACAATAATTGCAATAATAATGATAATAATTAAATATTTGAAACTAAAAAAAAAAAAAAAAAGAAGTTAAGTTAACAAATGTTAATATACAAAATAACTATTTTTTTCCAGAAAGTTTGTAAATCATTCGTATTTGTTTCTATTTTCCAACAGGTTGTCAAGGAAATACAATATTAATTTAAAAAAAAAAGAAACCCTAATCGAGGAGAGTTGGTTAAATATAATAGTAGAGAGTATACATACTTATATATAATACGTACAAAATTCAGAATTAATTAATTAATGCGTAATCCTAATTAATTAATGAAATATAGCTCAATTAAAGTCTGGAACAACTACCACGATGGATGAATTAATTAAGTTTGATGGGTCAATTACGATTCAGTGATTTAGGTGGTGGCCATATCTATCTGATCCTAAATTTGAAAAAGTATCATTATTTCATAATAAATTTATGACCAAAAAAAAAAAAAAAGTAATAACATAAATAGTCGTTAGCCCAACAGTCATGACTCATGATTGTGAGTTATCATGTTAATCATCGAAAAACCGGGTACATGTACATGCATCATGCATCATGCATATCCACAATATTATCATAAGACGATAAAAATAATTTTTTTTTTTTTTTTTTTTTTTTTTTTTTGTACGCTGCATTTGTACTTGCGGGTTCCGGACTCTTAAAACTACGTCGTCTTGATCACGAGCACCTCCAGCATAAATTCACCAACGTCGACGGTACTTGTTGTAAATAGTAGGTTAATCTGACGGTGGAAAATTTAGGTGGTTGTGCGCGTGAAAAACGGGGAAGTAGGAACGAGGATTGAAATGCTGGACCCTCCCAGAAAACCTCACTGGAAGTGACTTAACTTGCAACTCCCGAGGTCTCTGTCTCTGTCTCTGCGCCTCCCTCTTTTCTCTCTCAACAGCGAGAGAAAAAAGAAATAAATAAAAAAACAGCTTGTAAACACAGTGCGCACAGGACTCCACTGTCTAAGGAGATCACACGCGCACGAGAGACGCCATAGCAGATTAACAGAGAAAACAGTCGTTAGTCATAGCTCTCTGTTTCTCTCTCTCTGACTTGTATGGTTTCCGTCTTCCTATTTGCTTCCGCTCCGAAGCTAATTCAAAGAAACAACACCGCGAAAGCTAATCAGCTTGTTTCTAAACCGCATATTTTCGAATAAACCACGTGCGCGGCGGGTTGTTTGTTTTTAATTTTTGTTAGATACTCAGGTGAGTGAATGCAATTTGGATTGGGATTGGAGTCGGGTATGGATCCGGGGGGGATGATGAATGAGGGGCCGTATAATCTGGCGGAGATCTGGCAGTACTCGATGAACGGAGGTGGTGATTTAGGGATCAAGAGAGGTCCGTTTGGATCCACTTTGGCTCACTTTGTAGATGCCAATCGGGACACATCGACTAATGATCCGGTCTGTTTGGACCAGAGACCGGCTCTAGCTGCTGCTGGTGCGAGGAAGAGGCGTGACATTGAAGATGAGTCGGCTAAAGTTGTCTCCACTAGTGGCGGCAATGGCGTGGTATATCTACGTAGATTCATATCTGTTTTGCTGTTCTTTCATTTACTGTGTTCAACAATTTGAATTTCTTATCTGAATTTTGTTTTGGAATTTTATGTGGTTAGTTTCCATTTGGTATTGTTATTGCGGGGGCGTAGTCCAGTTGGTAGCCGCATATCTATGTTTTTTATGATTATTTTCGAAATTAAATCTTATATAGTTATCAGTATGTGTTTACATATATGTACATACGTATATGTATATGAATATGTATGTAGATGTGGTTTTTTTATTGCGAAGTGTGTGTTGACTATTGATTAGAGGTATAATTTGGTATGAGACTGTATTTTTTGGTGGGTTATTTGTTTGTTTGGGTGAAAATGATGTGATTTTTTTTAAAAAAAAATTTTATTTTGTTTCAAATGAAGCAGAATGATAGTGATGGGAAGCGGCTTAAGTCATCAGGATGTAGAGATGAGAGCCGTGATGCAAAAACTGAAGTAGAACCCTGTTCAGGGAAGCCCGTCGAACAAAATTCTCAACCGCCTGAGCCACAAAAAGATTATATCCATGTGCGAGCAAGAAGGGGTCAAGCTACAGATAGCCATAGTCTCGCAGAAAGAGTAATTTTCTTTCCCAGCAAATATAATAAGTAACTGGAATTTATGAGTGAAAATAGAATAAATCTGGGTCGAATAAGTAATTACCATATTTTGACTTGAATTTGATTTAAAAATTAAAAGAGCCTTGAGAATTTATGAACCTGTTGCAAACGCTTTTTCTTTTTTCATCAAGTAGATGATTTATCCCAGTTTTTTGACTTGAAACTTTTGGTTGGCAGGCGAGGAGAGAAAAGATTAGTGAAAGAATGAAAATTTTGCAGGATCTGGTACCTGGTTGTAACAAGGTATGCTATTGGACTTCCTTGAAAAACCAAATTGAATCTAGTCTACATATTTACTCTCTGATAAGTGATAATCTAGATAATGATGTAGATTGGGTACTTTTTGGTACATATCCAAAAATAAAATTTGGATATTATTCATATGTCTGTTTGTTTCGTTTTCAGGTTATCGGGAAAGCACTGGTCCTTGATGAGATAATTAATTACATCCAGTCACTGCAACGTCAAGTTGAGGTAATAACACAACTAGGTATAGTGTATATATATATCACTTGGCTTTTTTTATTTAAAATTTTTCTTCATTCAATCAAAATCTGATCAATGTAAATTGCTGGACGTTTCAGTTCCTGTCAATGAAGCTTGAAGCAGTCAATTCGAGAATGAACCATGGCATTGAGGTATTTCATTGTAAAGATATAGGTCCCAGTTATCTCACACAATGTTCTTTTTTTACTTTTGGGTCTCTTTGAACATATTTCTCTTTCAAAAGCTATGAAGTGGGTGATTTTAAGGTAGGACGGATTAATACATCAGATGTTTGACTCAAGAGGCTGGTCTAGTTTCTATTTCAAGGAAAGAATCCTAGATATATGGCCTGAAATAAAAATTTATGATTATTGTATCACGGTTGCTTAACCCTAATGAGATTTGTGTCAAGCTACTTCCATTGATAGGGATGGCAAAGGAATGGTTCGGTACGAATCTCTAGTCTTATTATTATTTTTTTTGTAAAAACCACTTCGGATCAGTTTCAAGCCAACCGGATCATACAAGTGCATACGGGTCTTGCCATCCCTATCCATTGACCATTGGCTTGGTTGTGTATTGCTGGATATTTCCATGTTCTGTCCAGTATAAAGGACAAGTTGGCAAATCACTTATTAGTCTTGCATCATATTCTTTTTTTGTTTTAAGTTTCAAATAGAAATTGTAGTAGTTCACTGAAAAGAGATTTATATTTGCTGAAACATATATCTCGGTAGGTTGCAAGTACTTGATTGATTTCATAATCCCTGTCTCCATAGGGATAAAACTGTCTAATGTACTGAGGCCTGTGTTACTTAGCTTGACTGATGAAATGAAGGAGACAATGCTAAAGAAGTATTCATTGATGGGTCATCTTTTTTTAAACCACCCAAAAAAAAGAAAAAAAGATTTTAATATCTTTATATTTGAATTTCAGTTTGGTCAACAAGCATTTGAAACTGGTGGCTTGGCATTCGGTTCTCAAGCTACGAGGGAATATAGTCGTGGGACCTCACCGGAGTGGTTGCATATGCATGTTGGTGGCGGTTTTGAAGAACAACATAATTAGAAGAAGAAGAAGAAAGAAAGTAAGAAAAATATCTCATCTACCATTAATAAGAGCATCACGTGGCAAAGCTTCCTTCCTCCTTCAGTGGATGTCAAAAAGATACCCCACTATGTTAAATCAAAGAGACATTATATTCCCATTTTCAACATCAGGCATGGAGCTGTTACTGCTGTCTAAAAGTTGGTATATGAACATCTCCATTCTGTTTGTGCTGGAAAATAAATTCTTTTTCACCATATATTTCATACTAGCCTTTTAACTTCTCTTGTTCACTATACTCGATGATAAGTGCCCCCTGGATTGATTGTTATTCTTGTAAAAGATTGCCTGCTTGTTCAAACTTTCCAATGCTTAAATTATGTCCAAACTTTGTTTTAACACTGGGTTTGAAGTGGAAGCTGTGATCAATAAATAAAGCCAGTTTAGTGCTCTATGTTTTCCTGTTCACATCTCTGAGTTAACTAGATTTACATCTGAACGATAGTTTTATAATACTACCTGGCTGATTTGTAACAATCAGGTGCTTAATTTCTTTTGGTGTTCCTGAGTTTCTTCATGGCTGAGTTAATGTTACAAAACTGTTTGTTCAGGGTTACGGAGCCTTTCAATTTCTTTAGAAACCTCCCTGAACTAGTCTGTTAGCTGTATGGAAAGGCATACATGGAAGTTATTTTTCATAAGAGGAGAAACAAAGAAAAGGAATGCAGCAATCTTTGTGATAAAGTCTGGAAGACCAGCTGTGGCAATCATACAAGGAAAAACTCAAGCAACATAATGACTTAGAAAGAGGTCTATAGAGGTTTTTTAATAACAAAAAAATGGTGGGAAGTTGGGAAGACATTCTATTCACATTTGGTTTCCTAATTAAATTTACATACGAATTCAACTACTTGTTAGTTTAGAACTTTTTTTCTGAGTAAGCATATTGAGGTGCATGAGGAGTAGGAAAGGAAAGTTACTGCCAACAGTAAATTATGTGACCGGCTGTGTGTCACCAGAGAAACTTCCACCATGGCTAACACCATCCCCGCTGGATTGAAAATAAGCAATAGCAGCCCAGATCACGCGTAGCAGGAGAAGTGCCACAAATACAGTGCCTCCGAGTGTGCAGATTACCTGCAGTTCAAAAATCCAATCCTGTGTCACTAGTTGAGCATGCTGTTTTTCACATTATTCGTCCAGTGCTTAACTCTAAGAAAATCGAAGATGATACAGTAGAGCTGCCCACATTTGGTTTCTCAACTTACTCCCTACTTCCCGAAAAAAAACCATTCAAAATCCACAGAAATCTGATTATCTTACAATAATGACTCATTTGATTTCAACTGGTGTGAAAATGTAACGTCTCAACATTGAACTTGCAACTGCAGGAATAGCAATGGTAAAGTGATACCTCAAGAAATGCCTTAATAATTGAAAGAGAAGCCAAGAGCAGGATCCCATCAACTGCAAAAGACACCTGAAGTCCCAAAACCAGAAAGATATAAAGCAGGTCAACGAGAAAAGAAACTCGACTCTGCCTCATAACAAGAAACTGAAAAGGAAAACAAAAAGTTTCTTCCTCCTTTTAGAGTCACAAATAATCTATTAAAATGAGTTCTCATTTGAAAACACACAATTTTTTTTTTTTTTTAAATATATATATATATATATATATATTATTTGATGCTACAAAAGTACAAATAAGAAGCCCGGTTCTATAAATATGATTTTTAGAGTATAATTATTTAAAATTAGTCTATTACATTTACAGAATGTTTTAACCTACTCCAAGGACCTAAGAATAATTTGTGGAGAATTAATTTTTTTGATTTGTAGACAATCAACACAATAGTCCGACAACTCACACCACAGCCAAGACCCTGAAATCAACTGAAACTACAAGCTGCTGAGAAGAAACATCCATGTCAGTGACTTAAATTATTTGTATATATTTTATGGTGGTGTCATAGCTTATAACTCATAAGCAGCTCTCTGCAAATTGCAGTTCCAACTAACAGCATTCATATTTGTCTTCTTCAATCATTTATTTCATGATCAATTCTATTAGATTAGTACGGTCCCATTTCACAACTTCTAACAAAATTTCCATCTTTCTTTGCCTGTTTCTAAATCTACCATTCCAGCCGAACACTCTAGACAAGACCTTCTGGCAAATAATGGTAATACCTAACAGATTTTTGCACCATAAAATCACTTGCTCCTCCTTCAAGGATTGTGTTCCATACATTCTAACACTACAACTACCAAGTTGGCAAATTGATCAATTATATGAGACAGCTCAATCCGAAGAGACTGCCAAAAGAAAAGCCTGTAATCATACAAACAATTGAAAAACAAATTTGATTTCTCTGGGTTAATCAGTGGTACAGCTTAGCAAGTTTGTCGTTTATAACTCGGTTGTCAACATTCACATCCAATCACAGATTAGACGCAATTATTACATGATGAATGGATTTATCCTTTTATCATCAACCATTGTAATGTGCTCCAACATGTTCGCTACCCTAGCCAAGAATTCCAAAAGGACCAGACCTGTAACCATCAAAATTAGATAGGGCAAAGAGAACTCACCAGCTGTGGCGATATAGCCGGAGGCAAGAGAGAGCGCGAGGCTTTCTTGGCACGCTTCGAGACCTTCTTGAACATGCTTTGTAAGAACCTTATCAGCAGATCAACGCTGCTCTCTGTCTCATCATCTTCATCACTCTCACTCTCCGCCATTGCATACATATCGAAGAATGGATCGTCAATTGAATCGTGTTCTTCGCCCACCGAATTGTCCAACTGAGAACACATTAACATCAGTTACATGGCTGTTAGATTTGTTATGTGAATCACAAATATGGAGAGAGGGAAAGACCTGGGCATTGCAAACGATTGCTGTGGGTTTTTTGTAGTGGAGATGAAGGTGAAGAGGAAGTGGGAGAATTGCAGTGGGTGAAAGTGAGGAGTGGAGAAGAGGCTTGGTTCTCGTTGGTGTGAGATTCATGCAAGGCGGTGACGATAAGGTTTGGGCTGCCGCTGCCATCTGAGAATTCGGATTTACAGGAGCTATCAAAATTTTTTCTCAAAAAAATTAAATAAAAAATAAAAAGTGATTGAAATTAAAAAAACAATTAACTTGGGTCGGAAGCTGACCCGGTACAGAGTGAGATTACGGCTTGTTTAAGAATTGTTTTTTTTTTTTAATAATGTAAATTAGCATATTAGTTTTTAAATTTTGATCATTATTAGAGTTTAATTTTTAATATTTTTTCTTATAAGTTATTTTCTATTATTTTTTAAATGAATAATTTTGAAAACAAAATTGAGAATGAAAATTAAAAATTTATTATTAGATAAATTTGACAAACAAAACTGTCTTTACTATATATATATATAATTTTTTTTGGACTTCTGCATTTTATTTTTTAACTTATAAAAATAATTTTTTTTTTTCCGATGAAATACAAAAAACTCGTCCAAAAAAGTACAAACCTTTAAAATAAGTTGAACAATTTAATGGAAATCAAACACAGTTTTTAAATCTGCAATGGAATCGCCCTTAAATTTATTTTTGTGTTCATATTTTTGTGTTTAATTTTCTTATTATAAATTAAGTATTTGACCATATTTTCTATGTTGTCATAAACTCTTTAACCTAACTATTCAATTTAAATAATATGTTAATAATGCATTCAAGATGAAATTAATAAGATCAACTTTGCCAATTAAATCTATATACCTATATTGAGTAGAAGCTTCTTGTTTATATAATAAAAAATATTATAAAGACAAACAAATTTTGTTATCTCATGATTATATTAGATACCAATATCTTTTGTGATACTTTCATTCTTAATTTCTCGTTATAATTTAAATGAGATACGAATGAATAAAAAAATCTCGAAATTTGAATAATTATTTTAATATCCGGTTCTTAAATTTGGTCTAAAATTAATTTTAACATTTTACAACATATAAAAATCTATTTTTTAAAATTAATAAATTTTAATTTAATGTAAAATTATAAAAAAATAGGTTAATGATGAAATTAAAAATAATTTTGAAAAAATATGTGAAAATTTGGATTCGAATGTTTTTTTTAAAAGAAAAATCAAAAACTGACGTCAGAATGTAATTTTAAAAAATTTCGCAACGTAGGACCGCCCAGTCAGCAGTCTCGACTAACTGGAACGCGCTACGTGGCAAGGCACGCTGAGTCGATGCCACACGGAAGGCTACACTAGTGATCCGTGTGCCCCGCGATCGGACGACCCAAAAGTCTTACCGCGCGTGTAGATGGTCTGAATTCGTTCCCTTCTCATATGCGATCGGACAGTCACAATCAAATACGATGAACTGTTCAGATTCATTTTCTCCACAGGTGTGATCGAACGATCGAGATTAAACGCGATAAATGGCCAAGATTAACGCGAGATTATTATAAATATTCTGCATCACATATAATTTGAACCCTAGTTGTCAGCTCCTCTGCCGAAGAAGAAGAACCAACCACAAGAGAAGGGAGCTGACAGCCGCCCGCCGCCGTATTGGAACCACCTTCGACCACCAAAAAAGGTAAAAATTCACCCACTCGCTCAGAATTTGATTTCGAGCATCCTTATGGCCATATCGAAGCAAAAAAGACAGTGGATGAGCCAAAAGCTGCGGACAAAGCCTGGCGGCATCATCGCAGGCAAAACCCGCAACTACCTCCGATGAGCCCCTTCCTGTTTTCTGTTTCGTACAATTTTTCTACTGTTATGTTCACCATTATGTTTTCTGCAGGTTGACCAAAGAAAAATGTCCAGTCGCGAAGGTGAGTCGACGGAACCGCCGCCTCAAAAAATTCCACTGTCGATAGGTTTTCGTTTTTTACTTTTTTCGGCCAAACAATGCCCCCTAACGTGTTTTCTCGTATGGATGGGTATAAAATTGGCCAAGATCAGTCAAAATCGGTCGAAAATGGTCAGGCCGAGGTAAACTGCCGCCACAAGTGGCGGTGCTGCCGCGCTGGAACCCTGAAATTGGCTGAAAAAGAATTTTAACATCGATTTTAGGTTTTTATGGTATTTTTAGGTACGTGAAACGTATTTTAATATATGCAAAAAAAATTTAATAAATTCGAGAACCGCTAGTAGGCACAGTAAAAAGTTCGATATTTTAGACACCGATTATAACACCCAAAATTTGTATTATTATTATTTAATTTATTTTAATTTTTATTAGATTTTTTTGTTTAATTTTATTCTATTTTAATGTTTAATTTATAAGATTTTAATTTAATTTAATTTAATATAATAGAAATAAAAATAATAATAATAATAAAATAGGGTAAAATTATTTTTGGGATTTAATTGAAATTGATTTTGGGAAAAAATGGTGAAAATTTGGATTCTGGCGGTGTTTTTGAAAAGAAAATCGAAAATCGGGAGTTAAAACGTAATTTAGAAAAGTTGTGCCACGTCAGCAGCCCCGGGCCAACCAAAACACGTCACGTGGCAAGGAAGCTGACGCGGGACGAAGCCACGTGGCGATCCACGTACACGTGATCGAACGGTCTAGATCTCACATGTACGGACGGCTCAGATCTCATGTGCACAGACGACCAAGATCTCACGCGTGCGG